TTCAATTCTGGCCCAAGATTCACTAATCCTCTACGATTCAACAACTGTGAGATGTTACATTACTTCATCTAATCGATCCAGATACTATCGCTAACGAATAAGATAATGGGATGGATCCAAGATAATGGGATCCAAGATAATGGGAGATAATCCTAATTCCAACTTGCATTACTATCTATTAAAAAGCTATAACATAGTACAACATACCTCAATTCATTCATCTAAGGTGCCCGATGCTTCAATGGCGGATTGGTCTTCAATTGAACAAATGTGCTCCAAATGTGCTCCAAATGTGCTTCAATGGTGATGATGGGGTGAGGATGTCGGATGCAGAGACGAAGAAAAGAATAACAGATGGATGCGATTTTAATTTTTCTTTTCTTTATCATTTTTTTTTAATTATTAGCTTAAGGTGTTTTAGTCTTTTCCTATTTTATTAAAGGTTATGATGTTATATTAGGTTATTTCGTGGTGTTGAGGTTAGATATGGAGAGAAAGGGTTAAATAAAAATTTGATCCAAGCCATGGATCGTTTTTCAGACTCGTAACAAGTTTTTGGGTCAAATCCACCCCAAAAGAAAAATCAGTCACGATAAATAGATGTCATTGTCTTGATCGATTTTTGAAAAATATTGTAGAGAAAATATACATGATGAACATGGTAAAAGTAGAAACTTGATTTGATTTGAATGAAAAATAATACTTTATACGATTTTTTTTTTTAAATTACGAAATTAGAAACTTGAGGCGTATAGTTTAGAAGATAATAGGAATCATTAAAAAAGACAAGTCAACTTAATCATAATTTAGCATATATTCAGTGGTAGACAGTGATATAATTTTACTTTTGAGAGATTGGATGGATGTGATAAGGTAAAAGAATAAAAGCATGAGTAAGTGATTAGGCCCCAACCCCTTTATAAATTCCGCCACCACCATCTATATGCTCAACTTTTGTGTCATTGTCATTAAAAAAGTATTTTTATTAATAATAATGAGGAAGAAAAAAAAACATCC